AAAAGCTAAAAACAACTTTTAGAGAATATGGAAATATTCTCATTAGATCCATTTTTCGAATGAATTCATGTATTGCTTAGAAGATCAATTTTCATAGATTTGTTCACAGTTAACATGGATTTAAGTGAAACTAACAATGATGTATTAAGAATAAAAATGCATGAAATGTCGTGTATTAAAAACTCTATTAAAATCTATAAACCAATGCAAACAAACACAAGACTTTCATACATCACGAGAAATGTTAGGAAATTCTCTTTAAATAGGCAAGAACTGTGCACTCTACTAACTGAAGTAGAAATTTGTATTAGACAGGATTCTATTTTAAATGAGTCATGCTAGTGAACAATACCAATATAAAAACAGAAAATGTTGAAAACAAATTAAGAAAATTAACACAAAAAACAGACAGGAAAATATTTCGTCAAACCAAAGTAAAAATCAACAAGAAAATACAAACATGTCAACATCATCAAAATATAAACTCAAATTTAATAAAACTAGAGCAAATATGAACCATATAAATTACAAGGAGTAAATAGATGTTTTTAACAGGCACATAAAGAATGAAACGATATTTCGAAATAAACGAAAAAGAAGACGAAACGCAAAAAAAATATAAAGTACAGTCAAATATAACCCCAAAAAACCCCACTTATTTCGCTTTATGACTTTTTTTAATATCGCTTATACACACCAATAACATCTTATATATTTACTCATATATAACAAAGCAGGTAGTAACATGCACCTTTGTTTTTTCTGTTCCCATAGACATTGCAACAGACTGTTGTGGGGGCAATGGCGTTATACGGTTCTTTTTTCCACGAATCTTGTTGGACACAAATTCTCGAATATTCCGATTTCCGTATCCGTACACCATTGGGCTAATGACACTATTACAGTAAGCCAATACAAAGGTTATGACCCACATCAAATCCGGAGTAGGCGCGTACAGACATTCCACAGCGACCACAGAGAAAAACGGACACCATGAAACAACGAAGAAACTTGTTGACCACAATAAGATATATAATATTTTAACCTCCTGTCTCATATCACAAACATTAACCGTGGAGGCTTGTTCGGCTTTACGCTTGGCGACAATGACAACCTGAAAATACATTACCACCATTCCCACATACATGCCGAGCACCATTGTCATAAGTAAACTTATGTAAGAACACTGCAGTTGTTCCAGTCTGCTACAAGAGGTTTGTGAAACGTACTTATATTTCTGTCTAGACGAAATTGTGGATCTATATTTAAAACTTTCATCCAACCGATTCCATCCTAGGAATGGACAAATCGCCAAGACCAATGGTAATATCCAGCAAAAACATATGATTAATTTTACTTTCGGTTTCAAAGCAAATTTACTAGCTTCTAATGAATGTACGACTTTCAGAAAACGTTCCAGGGCGACAAATACTAAATGTAACGTTGACACTAGAGGGAAGAAGAAAATGGACACTTGATGTAGTAGACATACATACTCATTAACACTTGCCTGTGGCAACACATGATGCACAACTTCCATTGGCGTTATAAACAAACCAAGTAACAGATCGCTAGAAGCTTGACTAGCCGCCATTTTGCTGTTGAATGGTTTCGTTCCTTTCATTCGCTTTATCAGCCACAAAAGAACCCCGTTGGTTGTCACTAATCCTATTCCGAGTAATAACAAAAAAACCGAGGTCCACAGTTCCGAACCGGAAGGAAGGAGAAGAGTCCAATCGTCGATCCTTGTCAGATTCATTTTTTTACGTTTGTTTCAAGTTATGAAATGATTCCTCGTAAAACATCGGTCATTTGAGTAATATCTGCTTATTGCCACTACAAACGGGGCCTTGTATTTATATATAAGAGATCGAGCTACTGTCGTGCTCCATACGTTACTCTCGTTGTTGCACACATTTAGATATCACGTTTTTGCCCCACAGATATCGCATGTTATCATGGTGATATATTGATTGAAGTTATAGCATATCCATCACATTTTTTCCTTGAAGGTCAAGAGTTAAACATTTCTTGATCACTGATTCTATATTCACAGTACATCCAGGCATTTATATTTGTTTAAAATGTCACATAGATTATAATCTGTTCCGTTCCGTTTTCCTTCTTACGTATCCAAACATATTGAGCACCTTGCGTATTGCCTGCAAAAACATATTTAACAAGTCATATCCTTTTAAAACGTACCACCTCCTTCGGTTATTAAAAAAACGTGTTATTCGAAAATTGAGGAATGAACTTGAGTAGATTAAATCTAATGCACAGACCTACAACATCTTTGGTGTACTTGTATAGATTTTATGTAACATCAGGCAATTCATGAAATCAATCCATCTAGATTCTTCCAACACAAGCCACCACAACGTTAGTGTAATTAAGAAATTGTATTGTCTATCATTTTTAAGGTAGAAATCAATACACCAGCCAGCACAAATATCGCTGTATTATGGTATCACTAATTAATATAAAGGGGAGATGTTCTACGTGTACTTGATACTCTATAGATACAGAAAATGGTATAAAAGAAATAAATAAACAAATAAACAAATAAATTAAACGATCAACAAAGATAATTGCAAATTCATTGCATGACGTATGGTGGTCCCGGTGTTATGCACTTTGTTCTCATTTGGGGAATGTGACATTGCTTATTTAGACTTCCCAAGGTTTACGTGGCGGGTCTCTCCGATGAAGCTGAAGACGCATTCCCTTCCAAAACACCTGGTCCTATTATCCTCTCACATCGCTCAAACTGTTGTTAGCTTGTTGGTATTTTCTTTGTTGTTTTAGGATTTCACAAACGTGATCTTCATACAACTGTGGAATTTGTAACAGTTACAAAAAATACTGTCACTCATGTGCTTTTGGGATTAGCATATTTTCGATGCCACCTTTAAACGACTTTTTTCACGAATAATTAATTTCACAAATAGATATTAAGCAGATTATATTTGATTAAATATATTTACATACTTAAAATCCTACTTTTTTCTTTTCGAATTTTGACGCGTAAATTTTATGAAATGTGTTGAAAAATCCACATCAGTAAAACCTTTTGCTTTTATGATTTTAAATGCCTGTTTAAAAAAATCCAAACAATCTTCAAAAGATTTGTGTAAATGAGACCTGCAGCAGCCTTACCAGCTATAACAACATGTTGTGATTTAATGCCTTTGTATATACTTGATTTGATTTCACAAAATGAGGAATGGTACAGACGATCTTATTCCATAGTGAAATAAAATACCAACAAATGTGTTTCTTCAGATTATTTTCGTTTTGAGATTTCGTACCACAACTTCCCCTCCCCTCCTTTTTTATTTATTTATTTTTTTTATCTTTTTTGAAACCGGAGTTTATTTGGTGTGTCAAGCATCAAAAACGTATTCCATTTTGACCCTCAGCCAAGACAAATTATTGGCATATTCATACTTTTTCATGTCATTTGATACTCTCATGAATGCCAAAACGATTCAATTGGTAACAGCAAGATCCGTACTACACATGTCAGTACGTGATGTTGAAAACCTTTGAGTACTTTATTCAAATGTATTTTTATCGATTACAAGTTACAGGTCTTATAAATAGGACAATTAGCAGATTCGTTACTTCGTATTCAAAATATAGAAGCAATGATATATTATTATCAATGATACTTTTAAACACATCTAATTTATCAAAGGCAACACAAGGCAAAATGCCTGTTTAAATCATTATGACTATGTATGTATTCATGTTCGTCGACATTGGTTTTGCAGTTGAACACATTTTTTTTAGTTCAACGACAGGAACAGACCTGACGGCATATCTCTTAAAAACCTGTGTACTTTACAAATATGTAGAAAATCATAGTTAAGGATGAAAACATGTTTTCTAATACTTTAACACATTTCTCGCTTATCAGCGAATCTATTTGAATTAATTGATCTGTGAACTTAAGTTGAGTTATAACGATATTGTTTTTGTGGGGTTTTATCACTAATGAGCATATGTTTTGAATAAGCAATGCTCTCTAATGTGTGTTTTGACAGAAATATTCTTACGATGTGTTATAAATAAAGCTAGAGCACGCGCTAATATGATCTATATTTAAACTATAATTTACAATGTATGCTAACTAACCACACCTTATCCCCATCCTGTAGGTTCCGCGGAGGGAATTACCAAGTTACCGGTGAACATGTGTTTATGCGCACTTTTACATATTTTTCTGTTATTTCCATAACGAGGGCAAACAGATGCTGCACTGTTGAAACACTTATACCGAGCAATGTCAAACAAACTCGCATTCCATCATCGCCATAAGTACTCATAAGAACATATATTTGTTATATTATATCTTACAGTAGGTATTGTGAAGAGCAATATTGCAAACATTCATTTTTTTGCGTAGAGACGAATATTTAAGAGTCTCACTTTTGTCTTATCTCTTCATATTTCAAAATCTAATGTTTAATCATGTGACTAATGTTATTTCATAATGGTATATCTGTATGTAAGGAGAGGTCACTTATAAGATAGTTAAACTTACTGAACAATCCTTTCGACATTGTAATATGACAAAATATATGTTTTAACTCATTCATTTCCCATCGTAGATTTCGGCACAGAAGTCCATTTTAAACGTTTGGGATAGGGTTGTTATGAACTTTGATTTGAAAATACTGAAAACAATATTATAAGAACACTCATTTTGTATTTTGTTTACTTAAACATGTGATTTGTACTTATGTAAATCAAAGAATATTGACCCTATTTCATTAATTTTATCCTGAAACAAATCTTTCATATTAGATTGCTTAATCAAATTCAATTCTGGTAAAATCTGGGAATATTGATGAAATATATTAAGCGAATGTTTAAACTAAGATTTGCAGTTTTTCCACGTCAGCAAATTATTACGTCAATAAATATATATAATGTATTGTCTTTTGGTTTGGTTTGCTTTCTTTCTTTTCATTATTACTATTTTCCAATTTCAGAAGCTGCTGAAAAAAGAGCAGAGGAGTTGGTCAGTGAAAAGGTAATTTTGATTTATACTATATCCACATATTGAGATGTCTAAGTCCGTTGTTTAACATATCATTTAAATAGAGATAATACTTTTCCTGCATAGGACTGAGGTGTCTATATCCACGGCTAGGCAGATCTGAATAGGGGTGTGGGGGTGGGGGGATGGGGGGTGGGTGGTGTCTTCGAAATTATGTATATATATACATCTTATCGTATACAACATTACAAAATTAAATAATACCTATATGGGTCTAGAATACCTCCCCTGCTATTTTTTTATATTTCTCCCGATGAATTTTGGTCTCCCTCAATCGCCACCAATATTTTGAATTTAAGGCCCTTATTATCACTTGTCTGACAAGTCTGGAAGGACGAAACAGCTACTATAAATTGTAAGCTGATAAAGCATTTGATTTTAAGAATGAAAAGAAATGCAAGTAATGTAAATTAATGATATTTCTCGTTGGTTTTATTTTCGCTCTAAAACGCGTGGAGAGTCTATCCCGAATTCAATCATTCCTTAAAAAATCCTTGTTGCTTCGGTTACCAATATCGGAGTCATGGAGAATACCAGGCCCCACTTGTATAAAACATCTCAACTTGAGATTTCCTCAAGTCGAGATTTTCCTCAGCTAATATCTCCTTGAAAATATCTTGTATGGAAATTTCTCAAGGAAGTTCAGGACATCCTCACCGATGCCTTCCTCCTGTTCCTTGAGAAAATTTTATACAAGCCGTTTTTGAGGAGATTTCAGCTGAGGAAAATCTCGACTGGAGGAAATCTCAAGTTGAGATGTTTTATACAAGTGGGGCCTGGTCTTTAATAAATCATCATTCGCGAATCATGTATTAGTGAATATGTCTTAAGAGGTAGGTTTGCGAAATAAAGTATTCATGAAAGCCAAAACATATTATTTACAGTTTTTGTCTATCTAATAATTAAGTATTAAGTGGTCTCATTATCAAAATAATTAGATATAAAATCCTGCGAAGAAAAAGACATCGTTGTTTTATATGAACTGTTCTCACTGAGTACGCACGGATTTATCATATATCTACATCAGTTTGGTTAAAAAAAAATAAAACTCCCCCCCCCCCCCCCCCCCCCCCAAAAAAAAAAAAAAAAAAAAATCCACATACACGAAATTGATTAACATTACGTTATATGTCTCTAAATTTCAGTGCAGCGCGTGCCAGGAGGCGGTGAACGGAAGTAGAATTCGGGTTCCACAGGACGATGCGGAAATCTTGTCACATGTTCCCCGAATATCTGTTGGCTTCCACATGCAGCTCCGAAGAAACATTGTGGTGTCAGGAAAAACTTTTCTGGAACTTAAAACATTTCATCAGGTAAAAAAACTTCAAATAACAATGTCTCTTATAGATAAAAAAAAAACATTACGGACAACATAAATGGAGCCTTTCTCGCGGGTTCCATTTCATATGAGATTGTGACGAGATAAATATGATTCGGAAACTAATATAAGATTCTGTTAATCACATAGGTTATATACTTTTGTTAATATTCGTGAAGACAGCACTAAATGAGATTGATATAAAATCCTATTTGACAATATCTTCACTCGTTTGTTGACGTCACTGTGGAAACGATGCCGCAATTTTCAGCAGATCATAGATCCGCTATGTGTTGTCATACCAGGAGTTCATGTACTGTGTATCGATGATATTGATCACTTTTTTATGTTATCATAATTAATTAGTCGACTGATTCCAGACATCAATATTACTTCTTATCGTGGAAAAAATCTAGTTACATTACATGAGTAGAACTTGATACCACACAATGTATCGACATTACCTTTTTCACGTACCTGTGGTTGCCTGAAGTGAAAGCTCTGAGACGAATCTTATTTATATCGAGAAATGGAAACGAAATTCTGGCATTTTTTTAATTGATTAACATATCTACATTGTATATCCCTATTCCATTGCTGCAGTTAATGTCTTTGTGACGTCACAATGACGTATGAATAAAGTGTATGGCGTTATTATATCACTATTCATGACGTCACGATATGTCATATTTATTAATCAAAATTAATCAAACCAACCCTGTGTTGGTAAGATTTTTTTCTTATTTCTAAATTACAGAAATCACAAAATGATAATAATAATGATAATAATTCGCGGATTTTTTTTCAAATGATAAACTGAACAGAATTTCATATTGCAAAATAATTCGTTTACGTTATGATTTAACTGTCATCAGGTAAATATTAGTTTTTTTACTGCATAACAACATTAAAATAATTTTGTAAATATATTTCATACCAATAAAAAAAAGACGATATAATTTAAATAATTTGATACTATGTTTTTTTTTTCTCAGCCTTTTGCCGGCGGGGCGTTTCACAGGGGTGATACCTTCAACGCGAGGAGTGGTCGATTTTCAGCACCTACTGACGGAATATACCAGTTTTCGCTCAATCTTCATATTCGGGCAAAAAAGAAAAGTAGAAGAAGTAGTCTGAAAAAACGAGATACGATCAACACTCAAGTCTGCATAGATAGTTTATGTCAAAATTTTGCGTAAGTTATTCTTTTTTTTTTTTTTTTTTTTTTGCACTAATTAGTTTATTTTATTGAAATTTATCCTTCTAACACATTTGTTTGACAGTGTGATTTTCTATGAATGGTAATTTCCTACATTCCCTCGTTTCATGTTAGCGCTATTTAAACGGCTTGTTTCTTGATTTTACAATTTCTCGTCTTTCAGCTCCTTGAAGCATTATACTGGACTAGAAAGTAACAGTAAGGTGTTTACCGTGAGTTTCACAGGATTTTTGGAACTAAAGGTAAGTCTGACTTCTCGGTTCATTAGTTTTAATTGTGTTTTAAAATCATGCACCGAACAAAAAAATAAGAAATATATTAATCGTATAATCGGCCTATTATCCAGCTAAACGACCATGTAATATATGTTTGCTTATATGTCACAATATTATATACTCAAGTGGAATTTTCATCAGCGAGGGAAGTCAGAAATTAATTGTGATGTCATAGTGCGAACATATGACGTCACGCCTTGTATTGAAAATTATTCAAAATCTGTCAAAATATTTTTTTCTGAGATTTAATAAAAAAAAAAAAAATGAAAAGTATCTTTAAAATTTGTTTAATTTAATTTGAGATTTTATAAAACTCATCATAAAGTTCAAATTTTTCCTCGCCAGGGCTCGCAAAAGCAAAAAAAAAATCTTTCGTTTTATAAAATATATGAAAGCTATTTTAAGTTTATATACTGATATATTTCTCTATATGCAGTAGTAGAAGGTATTCTGTTTGTGTCCATGTAATGAGGAGTTTATTATCCCACACCTTCTGTCAAGTGACGTATATGTTTGTGAAAAAGATTGATCAAATTCAATATAACATCGACTCGAATGTAAATTTCGTTTGATCATAAAACGCTAAATGAAGCAAGGCATTTTCCAATATAATATTTGCAAATTTCTATCGATTTTATTGTCATTCTATTGACAACTTTGTGACATCATTAACATATGTAGTTATGGATGTTCTGTATGGGGGCAGTGTAGCTGAAATATGAGTTATAATTTAGAAGTGAATTTTTTGTTTTCTATTACGTGCACGCATAATAACTTTCGTTTTTAAGTATATATTTCACATTTTCGTTTAAAATTCATCGGTAAAGATACTTAAATGATTAGATGATGTAAACAATATAATTTATCTCTTATTTATGTATTTTTATAATTTCGTTTTAGGTCGGTCAATACGCCTCTGTGTACGTTGACAACGCTTCCAATCTAAATGCCGTGGTACAGAGTGGGTCAGATTTCACAGGTTTACTGATAGGATCGTGATTAATTCGGGAGGTGGATGACATCTTAATGACATTCCACAAGAAAAGGATGTTGTGACATCATAATGTTAAGCTCCAAGACAATATATGTGCGGTCCAGTGTGACGTCACCACAAAATGACATCATAAAATGACATCATAAGATTATCTTATGTAGTGCATGCTGTTTCAGGAATCATGACGTCATCATAATATAAGATACGGTGTGATATATCACACTACATGACTTCAATATGACGTTGTTTTATTGAAGGATATGGCGAATTCATGTGTATTAGAAAACAATGACGTCATATTCCTATGACCTGTGGTGTACGAGACCACATGGCTACACACAGCACCTATTCAAGTGATGTCATAATACTGCAAACTACTAAGTATGTTATAAGGAAAGATATGACTTTGCAGAATGTGTATCAGTGATGGCGTTAAATTGAAAAACAGTGATATCATACTACAACTTCTTTTCTCCAGAACGTGATGTGAAGCGATGTATGATGAACAGCAGTAACGTCACAAAGCATGAATGACGTCATGCGAATATCGTCCGCTCAGGTGTACAGTCGTTTTATTTAGAAGCTGTGACGCAGTTTATGACGTAGACAATCAAACAATGTATATATCTGTGTAAATATGTAAGAATGTTGTGGGGCAGCTTCACAAAACTCTATTCATGTAAGTATTTGTTATGTCAATTTTTATGTGTAATAGTATGGTAAAGAAGCTGAAACACGTTTTTTAGGTATTTTATCCTTACAACTTTGTTAAAAACACTTATCTAGTGAAGGAAACAGACAGAAATAAATTATAATGAATTTATCTGGATATGACGTTAGTCAAAATAGATGTCCGTAAAATTTGCGATGGTTATATGTGTACTTCAAAAAACCGCAAGAATGGCAATGTAGCTTGATAAACAGAAAAAAAATTAAAAGGAAAAAACAATAAAATGACAACTGTATTCTAATAAAATAGTGTTGAGAAAATTACGTCCATTTTTTTAAGAATACAAACATCTCTATTTGGTATAGGCATATGTAATTTTTTTTCATTGTAGAAGTCGCAAAGTTTCGCGATCTTTCATTTTTACGCGTATGACTTGGTTACGAAAACTTTATTTACCGAATACCCGGTTTTTATTTTTCGCGGTACTTACAGGAAGAAAGACAACTCTGAAAACTATACAATGAAGAACAAGGGACATAACTCATTTGACGTCGGTGAATACTAGTATAAAGTAGATTGTGTTAGGCTGTCCCGGTTATACTATTACATATGATTTCACTCAGATTTAATAGTCTGGTACTTTCTTTTAATATAAACTATTTCCTTTTAAAATTCTGCTTCAGTGAGATATTAGTGAAAGAAATGATATAAATGTTTTATTGAAGTGTGTTTCTGTAAATTAAACTTTTCTATTAATCGACGTTTTTAGTCGAATTTGTCTAATAAGAAGTGAAAAAAATTACATGAATAGATAATTTATCCTTTTTATTGTAATATTATCAATATTTGCTATTACGTAATACAATATAGTATTGTCCTGTAAATAACGTATTTTCAATTTCAATCATTATACACCTTTTCTTATGCCTTAGAAACAAGTTCCGTCCTAAAATACAGTCGAACCTCGTTATGACGAGACCGTGAGACAAAAATTCGAGATAACCGAGTATTCGATGAAAGTGAGTTCGACTGTTTGGTGCGAAGTTTGACTGGGACAGAATTAAACGAAGTCTTTGAGTTATCTATGAGTTCTAGGATGGAGGTTCGACTGTAAATCTTTCGCGCACAATCATATCAGTAATGAACTGTTTAAGATATATCGAACTTTTATCAAGTTTAAACATATTTTATTGACATATAACATGTCAAAGGAATTAATGAGGAAGTTTTTTACCAACTCCCGTAATACAAATATAGAATTATATAATAGCGATGGGTAAATATTGACATTTAAGAGTACAATTTAACTTTTATTTGATTATTCAAATAAATACCGGGTAGACTTTGGATTGTCAGCATCTCTAAGTACTGTACTCTCTAGTAAGATACTTTCTGCCAGCAGCTTACTGCTAGGCATACCGATCTCCCAAAGATACTGCAATTCGTTTCACTCCTTCAGGTGTTTTAGAGATGAAATGACAGGCGACAGGGGTCGAGAATGTCTGACGGACGTCACAATTGACGACGCGATATTGTACGAAGAATTAAAATCTTCTCATTTTTTGTATCAAGGGAGACAACTACGACTGTATATTTTATATTACGGTTAAGTTACGTGATTACAAAAAAGATGATAATAAAAGATGTTAGTTCCAGACAGAGAAAAAGTCAATTAAGCCCAAATTTGAAAATAATAGCATTTCTTATCAGAAATTTACCTCAATAAATGGAACACAACCCTTCATCACTGGGTTGATAGCTCTCCTGTATTTATTATAGGGTCTTGTTCGGTAAAGTGCCTTTAACAAATTTTCAAAATTAGATATTCACGGTAATATCAAATACTTTCCTGTTTTCATTGATTATGCAATAAATCATTTACATGTATTTCCAAACATCAAAACAATGTATTTATATACGGTGTGTGTGTGTGTGTGTGTGTGTATGTGTGTGTGTATATATGTGTGAATGTGAGCGAATTATTTATGTATACTAAATGTTTTCTGTGCGAATGACAAAACAACATTTTGAGATTTTAGAATTTCCTGTCTTCGCGAACAGATGTGAAAAATTGTCTCACGAAAACTATTTGATTCGCAGTAAGTTGTATGTTTTTATATCGAGTATTTAGTCTACTCAGGAGGTTTGTAAATATTTTTTCAGCCTGAATACATTAAAGTGTAGTCAGTAAATTTGAAATTTACAAATCATTGTAATATGTAATATACATACTGATTCAGTTGTTCCCCATTTCCTGAAATGTGATAAACACTTCTTCAAATAAATATTATGTGAAACATGTACGTTTTGTTTTATTTTATGTCTGATATATCTGATTTGTGGTTTCCATGACAACATTTTTCTAATATTAAATTATTCTTCTAAAAACACAAAATAGATTTGAACTTTGACCTCGAAGTCTAACCTTGACCCAGGATGCGATGTTCATAGGTTCTGCGCATACATCTGTGATGCGTGTGGGAGGTCACAAAGTAATAAAACGCTTACCTTCGTTGACAATATGGTTTTGTTTGATCCTGATTATACAATACGGAAGAGAAAAAAAAACAATAATGGATAGCTGCTCTAATTAATTCATATTTAATTGTCAATACTGATTTTATTGGGCACAAGTTTAAGTAACTTTTTAATGTCTTTCCCATCATACATATACAATTACATTACTATATTAAAAATGTATCAAAACGGTATCTAATCTAAACTGACCGTCTTGTGACTAGATAACATCATAAAATATTTCTCAAAATTCATGGCTGGATTTATAGAAAGTTTACACATCTCTAAACACAAACGTCTATACACAAATGTCTACAGAGAGATCTGGACTACCGAAGAAAAGAAGGTCTGGTATATTTCATATAAAAGTTTCGTCAATCTTCGATATACATATATAACGGGAGACGTGTTTTAATACTCTCCGGGTTTTCGTAAACTTTTCTGTGTGAAATCTAGCACATCCATCCCATAAAGCGCCTTCTTATTCTAAAACTGGCAAAATGAATTATCTACAAATTTTAATGGCTATTTCGACTTAGCAAATACTTCAATCTTGGTAAGGTGTACATTTTCTTCATCACAGAAATATATATAACATTAACGTATTCCCAACACTTATCGCTTGAATTAGACTTGTAAATTTTAAACATTTAACATGAAATTTCAACACTAATCTCTGTTAACAGAATTAGAAATAAGTATTACCTATTTTTGACTACGGTAAGTATTAATTACCAAGTTTTAAACCATTAGATACATATCAAAGATGGATTGAATTTCAGGACACGACGAAAGAAGGCTTTAATAAGGAGGTATAAACAGCAAATTACGGGGCAGTTGATTCTGTATCAAAACAAGAGCATGACAAGAATGGCACATTGATGGAACCGTGGTAGGTTTAAGCTAATTGAGAATTATTTAAGAAGATTTTCCGTTGTCTATGAATAGATCATTTTCTGTTGTCTGTGAAATAGTTAATTTTCTAACCAGGTGGATAGTGTACCGCAAAGTCCGTAATATTTAAACTTTACTATCAAGCCTTTATGCTTTTGAAGAGCAATCCAAATGTTGAAATAAATTCCAATGCGCTGATATACTGTAGAATGAGCATGCACGAAACCTTTCTGTTTACGAAAAATAAGTTTTCTATGAAATGATTATGAAGTTGCATGAAAATCATTAATTCAAAAACTTTTCCAACATTGGCTAATGGAAAAATTTGCTTATAGTTAGAAGGCGATTTGGCTATTTTCCAAGTGGCTGAATACATACCTGTCGATAATAATTTCAAGTGGGAAATGAAGTTTGCGAAGTATTTCTAGATTATGATGACCGACTCCATTATCTCCTTAGACTTTACCGTCTTCTGAGGCTTTACCGACTCCTGAGGTCCTACCGCCTCCTGAGACATTACCGTCTCGTCTCCTGAAGCCTTGCCGTCTCCTGAGGTCCTACCGTCTCCAGCGGCCTTACCGTCTCTTGAGTCCTTACTGTCTCCTGAGACATTACCGTAACCTGATATTTAACGCCTCCTGAGGGCTTACCGTCTCCTGAGGTCCTACCGTCTCGTCTCCTGAGGCCTTGCCGTCTCCTGAGGTCCTACCGTCTCCTGAGGCTTTATCGCCTCCTGATGCCTTACCGTCTCCTGAGACCCTACCATCTCGTCTCATGAGGCATTGCTTTGTCCTGAGGTCCTACCGTCTTCTGAGGTCTTACCGTCTCTTGAGGCCTTACCGTCTCGTCTACAGAGGCCTTACCGTCTCCTGAGGCTTTACCGTCTCCCGAGGCCTCCCCGTGCCTCGAGGCTTTACCGTGTCG